ATGATGGACACTGCCCCTTCTGAACTGCTGGAGCAGCATCCTGGGCTTTGGAAATGAGTTTTTTATTTCAAAACTTACAAGAAATCTACTTTGAAACTCAGACTACATTTTAAAAAACCGGTTCTCACTCTGAAATGTGACTCACTGTGGAGCCACAGGAGACAGTTCAAAGGCTGCATACAACTCTAGGTCTTCAGGTTACCTCAGAACTATAGTGAAACGTTTCGTGTATGCAAAACCTCAGAACATCTCAAAGGGGACACATATTTTTTCATAGAACAGTGCACCTTCATCACCGCAACAGCTTTGTGAAATAGACTGGGCAGTGACTTTCACAGCATAAGAGTGGACTTTTATCCACTCCTAGTCCAACATCTTAAATGCTCCATCAGACTAGAGACAGGATCTGTCTTCAATTGTGGTTTAGATTGTTTTTAAAATGCCATATTTGGGGGATCAAAGCACTCAATCAGTTTTCTCTGGATTATACACCCCCACCCCCCAACACAGGAACTGGGAATTACAGAAACTCTGCAGAATGTCAGAATAGCCAAGGGGTACAACTAAACACTTGATGAAAAGTATTTATTTTGCATGGTTGTAATGTAGTCTGAAATGCTTTTATATTTGGAATCTTGGATCCTAACTTGAGTTCTGTTATTGACAGAGGGATTTTCTGCCTAATCTTTTTACCAACAATCCTTTAAACTCTCCCAGAATTCTTTATACAAGTGTGAGGTTTCACAGAGTGGAACAAAAACATTTAAATAAGTAATGCCACTTGGTTCATAGCACAATGTATGTGCTCACAAGATAGCAGAACCACCAGCAAGTCATTTTAACTTTTTAATAAAGTAAATTCAATAATGTATCAAATATCACTGTTTTTCCTTAGTTAAAAAACCCCAAGAAATATGAACTTTCTTAACATTAAAAAATATTGTTCACCATGGAAATGAACTGGATTGGAAGAACACATTATGTAACACCACAGAGCAAAACTTTCTTAAAACTGCTCTATGAATGGATTTTATACAAAAGGCCAAACACAAATAGGAAGGTTTGACTTCTATCTGTAATGAAAAGGGATAACTCTGTATAGATGTCCAGATCCTTGTTTGCTTAAATAGGTCTGTACAGAATCTTAAATTATAAATGAAAATGCCATCTCAAAAACTTTTTAATACACAGAAGCAGTTACCTGTCCTCTGGTTTGGTTTTTCAAGTGTGGAGTAGCAAAGGAAAGCACTATAGAGCTATACCCTCTCCTTATTTAGCAACTGCAATCCATTCCTTAAATCAGGAGCAAAATGGTTGCTAAGTGAACACGACTGAGAGAGAGAGAGATGCTGCAAAGGTCACTGGTTGCTGTCACCTCATTTAGATAAAGTTGTCTTGTACAGCTATACCAGTGTAACTCTCACTCTAGCATGCATTGTTGTCAGGAGCATGAAATTTGGTTCTAAGTGCACGCTTGGTCAGAAAATTATTTTCTAAAAAAATTACCGCTGTATTTGCAAACAGTTGCTAAATGAGGGAGCTGCTAAATGAGGAGTGGCTGTGCTTATATCATAATCTGGAAATTGGTAGCTATAGCCAGCATTAATTCATTATTTCAGTGCAAGTGAATTCTTACATGCAATTATTCACAAATTTGTCTCTTGGCACACCAGAAATCATTACAGCAGGAAAAAAGCCAATTCTGCCATACAGCAGTAGATACCACAATGAAATGGTTGGAAGTCAAAATGGGAAGAACTTTTCCAATGTCATCCATACTCCATGATGGTTGCACCTTAGTAGCTCAGGTACAGAATATAGGGTTATCATATTGTTCAGCCTTTCAGTTTAAAAAACAAAAGCAGAGCAATAATTGGGAAGGTGTGAGAAACAGCAAGGTGTTACAATCCTTGCTCTTACCAAAGGCTTGATCTAATCACTGTCCCAACAGTGCTTTTTTCAGGACCAATGTGTATATCTAGTTGCCTCTTCAAAAGAAACAAAGGAACAATTTTTTTACATGAATTATAGACAATACATTATCACCCTCTTACTACCTGAGTTAACTACATATGCCACGAACTAGCTAATCACTCTAAACTGCTTTTTTATCTATATCCTGAGAAGACATTTTTTAAAAGGTTCTCTTTTTTTGTATCAAAAATGTTTCTGGCCAGAAAGCCAAAACTCAGACATGCCTAGCAACAATTCATACATTCCTTCTTAATGAGAACTCCAGCACTCTTTATAGTACTGGCATTGAGTAGAGATCCCCTTTACATACATGAAGTAGACACTTCATTTAGTTGCTTTTACTTGGATATGGACTTATCTGCATGCATGGCATGGCAAAGTAAGTTAATGCATCAAGAGGAAAGACTTATCCCATTTTTCTGGAAGTTGATTCAATTAACCTGGGAATGTTAACCTGCATGTTTAATCACTAGCAGATACAAATGTGTATGTCTACTATTGATTTTCACTGACGTTTGTGTGATTTTAATAGATAACATGCTATGCCATTTTTACACCTGCTATCAAAAAAGGAAAACTCAATTTTCTTTAAAGCTAATGAATATATATGATATAGGGCTTTTTTCACTGCTTTTTAAAAACATTTCCTAAGTTTCAAATATTACTAGCATATATTTTGGGAATGCATGCCTCCCTTCAGACATTATTTAAAAAGAGTATCTGCAGACATAACATTCCATATATAGGGTTCAATCCCTCTCCACCCAATGTATTGTGCAAATTAACAATAGGTGGAATTACCTGAAAGTAATGCAAACTGAAGACACAATGATTAATACAAAGTACTAACAAAAACAGGAAGAAGTATGTTGGGATTTTTTTTTTAATTATGAGGTAAAACTTAAAATTAATCTGTTATGACGACAGGTTAGAATTAATAACGTTATAGGAAAAGGAACTCTGTTAACATCTAACTGGGTATTGCAATTGAAGTAGTAGCATTTTTCAAAAAATATTTTGAAAATTTGCTTCTTATTTTTGTGGAAACCTTGGGTTTTTAAAGTATGCGTTTTATTGCACAATTCATACTTCACTGATAGCTATAATTCTCTTAAAACTGTGTACAAACACAAATTGGTTTGCTTAAGTATTATTCTCTTCAATAGCATATAATCAACTATAGTTTACATGTTTTCTAGGGTTTTTTTTTTTTTTGCTTATTTTTAGTTTTGAAAGAAAAATTAAGATATAAACTACAAATTGGAAAACTACTTTAGGCACACTCAATCGTTTCCTATGCTCAATTGGAACAAATTTTTATATGAACTGGAGTCCTTTATGTCATATGAAAACTGCACCTGAATTTCAGAGGCAGCTAATCACAGAATGAGGATTAAGGGAGGGAGCTAAAATTTAAAAAAACAACCAGCTGTTCGGAGCTAGGCCTATAGTCCGAGTTGTGCATTAAACTGAAAAATATCTGTGCATCCGTTACTTATCAAGCAAAACCTATACTTGTAAAAAAATCAAAATGACTTTAAAATGTTTTCTTATTTAAAATTAAGACATTTTCACTTTGATTTTGCCATTATTATTGTTACATTGTGTATCCTGGAAGCTTGTTTATTACTAGTTCACTGATATGTTTACATTGATTTGTAATATCCATCATTCCAAAGCCATCCTCTTTTTCTATGTCGGGTGCTTTGCTTTCTTCTAGCCCACTAAGTTCAAGATCAGACACACTGGAGGGCAAATAAGAGCTAACTTGAGATGTCCTTACAGAGTGGCTCTTTTCCACAGATGACCGACTTTTTGCTATGTTACAATTTGTATCAGGGTATACTTGTTTGTCCTCAAAAGTCTGTGTAACTTTCCTCTTTTCCTTTTCATGAACTGTAAGTTGGTCCCTTAAAGTTCTTGCAAGAGAATCATCATCAAATTTGTTCAATCCAATACCTAATTTTTTTTCATTAGATTTTAAATCATATGTCTTTTTAAGTGTCTGAATAGTACAATTTGTATCAGGGTATACTTGTTTGTCCTCAAAAGTCTGTGTAACTTTCCTCTTTTCCTTTTCATGAACTGTAAGTTGGTCCCTTAAAGTTCTTGCAAGAGAATCATCATCAAATTTGTTCAATCCAATACCTAATTTTTTTTCATTAGATTTTAAATCATATGTCTTTTTAAGTGTCTGAACAGGAGATATAGCTGAAGGTATTGGATGAAGAGGTGAAATACATTTAGCAGGAAGACTTCTG